CGGAATCGTGATCCTGAGGAAATTCCGCGTAAAATGACACCCAACACGGTCGAAAACGGACCAATTTTGAAAATTCCAAAATTTGCATTTTTCTCGCTTATTTGAAGAGATACGTCAAAAACGAATACGGAATCGTGATCCTGAGGAAATTCCGCGTAAAATGACACCCAACACGGTCGAAAACGGACCAATTTTGAAAATTCCAAAATTTGCATTTTTCTCGCTTATTTGAAGAGATACGTCAAAAACGAATACGGAGTCGTGATCCTGAGGAAATTCCGCGTGAAATGACACCCAAAACGGTCGAAAACGGACCAATTTTGAAAATTCAAATATTTGCCATTTTCTCGCTTATTTGAAGAGATATTTAAAAACCAAGCACGGAATCGTAATCCTGAGAAGATTCTGCGTCCGATGATACCCCACATGGTCGATTCGGACCATTTTGAAAAAATTCGAAAAAAATGGTGGGGCAGCATTTTTCTCGCTTATTTGAAGAGATATTTAAAAACCAAGCACGGAATCGTAATCCTGAGAAGATTCTGCGTCCGATGATACCCCACATGGTCGATTCGGACCATTTTGAAAAAATTCGAAAAAAATGGTGGGGCAGCATTTTTCTCGCTTATTTGAAGAGATATTTAAAAACCAAGCACGGAATCGTAATCCTGAGAAGATTCTGCGTCCGATGATACCCCACATGGTCGATTCGGACCATTTTGAAAAAATTCGAAAAAAAAGGTGGGGCAGCATTTTTCTCGCTTATTTGAAGAGATATTTAAAAACCAAGCACGGAATCGTAATCCTGAGAAGATTCTGCGTCCGATGATACCCCGCATGGTCGATTCGGACCATTTTGAAAAAATTCTAAAAAAATGGTGGGGCAGGATTTTTCTCGCTTATTTGAAGAGATACATTAAAACCAAGCACGGAATCGTAATCCTGAGAAGATTCTGCGTCCGATGATACCCCACATGGTCGATTCGGACCATTTTGAAAAAATTCAAAAAAAAAGGTGGGGCAGCATTTTTCTCGCTTATTTGAAGAGATATTTAAAAACCAATCACGGAATCGTAATCCTGAGAAGATTCTGTGTCCGATGATACCCCACAGGGTCGATTCGGACCATTTTGAAAAAATTCGAAAAAAATGGTGGGGCAGAATTTTTGTCGCTTATTTGAAGAGATATTTAAAAACCAAGCACGGAATCGTAATCCTGAGAAGATTCTGCGTCCGATGATACCCCACATGGTCGATTCGAACCATTTTGAAAAAATTCGAAAAAAATGATGGGGCAGCATTTTTCTCGCTTATTTGAAGAGATACATTAAAACCAAGCACGGAATCGTAATCCTGAGAAGATTCTGCGTCCGATGATACCCCACATGGTCGATTCGGACCATTTTGAAAAAATTCAAAAAAAATGGTGGGGCAGCATTTTTCTCGCTTATTTGAAGAGATATTTAAAAACCAAGCACGGAATCGTAATCCTGAGAAGATTCTGCGTCCGATGATACCCCGCATGGTCGATTCGGACCATTTTGAAAAAATTCGAAAAAAATGGTGGGGCAGGATTTTTCTCGCTTATTTGAAGAGATACATTAAAACCAAGCACGGAATCGTAATCCTGAGAAGATTCTGCGTCCGATGATACCCCACATGGTCGATTCGGACCATTTTGAAAAAATTCAAAAAAAATGGTGGGGCAGCATTTTTCTCGCTTATTTGAAGAGATATTTAAAAACCAAGCACGGAATCGTAATCCTGAGAAGATTCTGCGTCCGATGATACCCCACATGGTCGATTCGGACCATTTTTAAAAAATTCGAAGAAAAGGTGGGGCAGCATTTTTCTCGCTTATTTGAAGAGATATTTAAAAAGCAAGCACGGAATCGTAATCCTGAGAAGATTCTGCGTCCGATGATACCCCACATGGTCGATTCGGACCATTTTGAAAAAATTCGAAAAAAAAGGTGGGGCAGCATTTTTCTCGCTTATTTGAAGAGATATTTAAAAACCAAGCACGGAATCGTAATCCTGAGAAGATTCTGCGTCCGATGATACCCCACATGGTCAATTCGGACCATTTTGAAAAAATTCGAAAAAAAAGGTGGGGCAGCATTTTTCTCGCTTATTTGAAGAGATATTTAAAAACCAAGCACGGAATCGTAATCCTTAGAAGATTCTGCGTCCGATGATACCCCACATGGTCGATTCGGACCATTTTGAAAAAATTCGAAAAAAATGGTGGGGCAGCATTTTTCTCGCTTATTTGAAGAGATATTTAAAAACCAAGCACGGAATCGTAATCCTGAGAAGATTCTGCGTCCGATGATACCCCACATGGTCAATTCGGACCATTTTGAAAAAATTCGAAAAAAATGGTGGGGCAGGATTTTTCTCGCTTATTTGAAGAGATACATTAAAACCAAGCACGGAATCGTAATCCTTAGAAGATTCTGCGTCCGATGATACCCCACATGGTCGATTCGGACCATTTTGAAAAAATTCGAAAAAAATGGTGGGGCAGCATTTTTCTCGCTTATTTGAAGGGATATTTAAAAACCAAGCACGGAATCGTAATCTGAGAAGATTCTGCTTCCGATGCTGCCCCCACCATTTTTTTCGAATTTTTTCAAAATGGCCCGAATCGACCATGTGGGGTATCATGGCACGTAGAATTTTCCCAGGATTACGATTCCGTGCTTGGTTTTTATATATCTTTTCAAATAAGCGAGAAAAATGCTGCCCCCCCATTTTTTTCGAATTTTTTCAAAATGGTCCGAATCGACCATGTGGGGTATCATCGGACGCAATATCTTCCCAGAATAACGATTCCGTGCATGTTTTTGAAATATCTCTTCAAATAAGCGAGAAAAATGCTGCTTTTTTAATTTTTAAAAAATTGTCAGAATCGACCGTGTGGGGTAACATCGGACGCAGAATCTTCTCAGGATTACGATTCCATGCTTGGTTTTAATGTATCTCTTCAAATAAGCGAGAAAAATGCTGCCCCACCATTTTTTTCGAATTTTTTCAAAATGGTCCGAATCGACCATGTGGGGTATCATCGGACGCAATATCTTCCCAGAATAATGATTCCGTGCATGTTTTTGAAATATCTCTTCAAATAAGCGAGAAAAATGCGGCCCTCTTTTTTGGAAGTTTTAAAAAATGGTCAGAATCGGCCATGTGGGGTATCATCGGACACAGAATCTTCTCAGGATTACGATTCCGCGCATGTTTTTGATATATCTCTTCAAATATATCTTTTTTGATATCTGCAACCATTTTTCCAGAATCGACCGTTGAAATTTCGAAATTTTTGAAATTTTCAAAATACGCATTTCGCAGCGATTTTTTCGAAAAAGTTTATTCGTGAACATCAAGGTGCTATATTTTTGGTATCAGCGTGTCGAGATCTACGTCCCTGAATTTTTTGATAATTTTTAGATAGCTTTTTTAAAATTGGAATTTTTTAATGGTCCTCCCCCTTTCTACTCACTGGAGATTTTTCATTCAGAATTGGATATGACTTTTGCAGCCCGAAATCTACAAGAAAATGTATTTAGTAAAATTTTGAAAATTTTGCTGAAAATTGGTCGAAAATTGGGGTAATTTGCATATTTTTCAAAGATTCAAAGGCCGATTCTGGAAATATCATTGGAATTATCGAAGAAATGAAAGCGGATATGACTTCTGGAGCCCGAAATCTACAAGAAAATGTATTTAGTGAAATTTCGAAAATTTTGTTGATAATTGTTTGAAAATAGGAGTATTTTGCATATTTTTGAAAGTTTCAAAGACGATTCTGGAAAAATCATTGGAGTTATCGAAGAAATGAAAGCGGATATGACTTCTGCAGCCCGAAATCTACAAAAAAATGTATTTAGTGAAATTTCGAAATTTTTGTTGAAAATTGGTCGAAAATTGGGCGGATTTGGCAAATTTTTATATATTTCATAAGACGATTCTGGAAGAACCATTAGAGTTATCGAAGAATTAAAGCGGAAATGACTTCTGCCGCCCGAAATCTACAAGAAAATGTATTTAGTGACATTTCGAAAATTTTGTTGAAACTCAACTAAATTCATTTTCTTGTGGATTTCACGCTTTAGAATTCAAATCCGGCTTCGGTTTTTTGATATCTGCAACCGTTTTTCCAGAATCGACCGTTGAAATATCGAAATTTTTGAAATTTATAGTTCGAATCGAAAGGTGTCATTTCTGACCGAATAGGCATGATTAAAAATAGCTTCAGGCTTTTCGACTAGGTGAAAAATGTTTCCGTGGAATCGTTAACTTTCTAAGCTTTCAGGGGTCAGAAAATCTGTACATTACTGACTGACTTACTGACTATGAGTAAACATTACACTCTATTCTAAATTCATGGTTGTCTAGGTTTATTGAATCTGGCAATCTACATGTCTTTGGTCTCTAATTGTTAAGCCATTAGTGTGCAGATGGCTCCACAGTGACACTCCCTATAGGAAACTGGATAGTGGGAGGTGTGGCACACGAAATAGATATAAGTATAATATCTTTGTCTTTTATTTTCACTCATAGCAAATTTTTTACCTTAAACACGAGGACCTTTGTGGTAATAAGTACTTACAACGTTTTGTAATGTGAACCTTAAAGGCAAAAATATTTCACGGATTTCTATTTTAATGTAAAGCGATTGACAATTTTCGATAGAGAAAAACAGGAAACTCACTCGGACGACAATGTTATGTATTTTAATGGGCAATAACCAAACCTAAACAAAGATTTTAGATAGCTTTTGGAGAAAATAACAGCGAAAATGGAATATTTCAGCCACTTTACATTCATTGCTGTGAGTGTTTTTTTGTTAACCACGCAGTCTTCCGTATTTACATGTAAATTGTTTATTTATCGATTTTACGTTTCTTGAATATCGTTTCACTTCTACGAAATTCGTAGTAATATTGGAAGATTAATGTATATTTGGTACGAATGAAGGTAACAGAAAGACAGAGTAAATCTCTAGAAGTTTATTTTAAATAAAATTTTAAATAAATTTCTTGTACAAAAAAGGTACATAAATCTTTCTACGAATTCCTTATGACAAAGAACTCATAAAACAAGAATCACTAGAATGCACTCAAAATTACCACTAGAACAAAAACGAACGTGAATCAGGATGGGCTAATGATGAGGAAACGAATCGCCGAGTGTTGTTATATGGTGCGATGTCATAAGAATATTAAGTATACATATTTGAAACAATACACAAGTGCAAACACATAATATCATAATTATTACACAGCATTCAAGATTTATTACATTTATAAGTTATAATAATTGGCACTGGCTCTCGAAACATGCACACGAATCAGTCGTCCACGTGACTCCTATATACATAACTACAACACAAGAACCCTAGTGAGCTGAAAAATTATCAAAAATGTCCTGTAATATGGCAACATGTTACGCAAGGTGCTATATCAAAACGATGTGTTCTGTGATGCTCCTATATACACAGTCCACGCGTATCTTCCACTCCGTCGCTCTCCATTCGCACAGTGTTAACTAGACTAAACCTGTAATTTGACCTAAAATGTAGTGACTGCCTACACGTACATTGTTCGTAGGAATACTGGCTCAACGATACATGACAATGGTATTTATGTGCTTTACAAATAAAACATATGCAACATTACGGCACTGCCACCGAGACGTCCCGAAGAGGAAAAAAAGAACTCAACCGAAAGTGGTACATGCAAAGAATTGTGGCAGTGGTCACAAACAAGTAAATATTATTAGGCCCAGTTCGATCGAAGTGCCCCGAATTGCGCCAGTTGCCCCGGAAGGTCTCGCCGACAGCGCCCGTATAAATTCTCTACAATTATTTATATGATGCAGCAGAACTGCGACAGTCTTATTAAACACGCAGGACACGTGAGAAGCTTTAGACGTCGAAGGAATGTGTTTTTCACTAATTACGACTCGACACTTATTCTTCCTCTTGCTCAGTCTCTTCTCCTGGACCGTACATGTCTGCTAGTTTGTCGAAGCGGGGACCCCAAGCGCCCAAGTAGTCGTATTCTTGAGCCTCGTCGTCGGTACCTAAAATCAACAATCTTTTATTTCCACCGAAATCGAACAAACAAACGCGAACGCCTTGTTTTCATTACGGACGAGCTTCCGCTTGCGTAAAACTTTCGCCAAATAATTTATGAGGCGTACACAAAAAAAGTTACGAGCCATAAAGCTCGGAAACCCCGCAAGATTCTTATTTATTTTTTCATAAAAAATGCTTTTCATAATTCATGAGCGTTTGATTTTGCGATTGTGCCGAGCTGATTGGCTAAATGATGGATGGGCGAACGCAAACTTCGCGACGTCTGACGCCTTTTTTCTACATTCGTCTTCGGTAGAAAGTGCACGATTAATTACAGTTTCCATTACGCTAAGTAACTTGTTTCATACATTAGCGACGACGTAATTAGTTCGCCATGTTTAACCGTTAAACCGATCATTAGGAATGCGGTTAAATACCGTCAAACGATAATAAAATGTGTTCTAATTGAAATCCGAGCGACCATCGCAGATAAAATTGAGATATTGTTTGATAGTTTGGCAACCGAAACGATGAATTTCAATAAACGTCGGTCTGCGAACGCACATATTCACGCTGCAGCAAAACAAGCACATTTAATGTCGGTCGCCACAACACTCCCCGCTTAAATGTAAAAATCACAACTCATTTTTATACGTAAAAAAAATAAGTTGCTCTATTGTTCTCTTCACAATTAGGTATACTGCAGGTGATCATTGCTTTGCTTTAGTTTTGTTTTGTTTTCTAAATTGGTGTTAGACATGTTGGTTGAAATGTCTTTAATTTTCTTCTTACTATACCGGGTGTCTGGAAAATGGCAGATTAGCTCTCTGCTACGCTTTTAACAATCAAATGCAGACGTCTTTATTTAATAAGAATTATAATAATAATATTCAGAACATTTTGTCGATTGTAGCTTACAGCTTAATAGTTTTGATTCTTTGTTTTGAGGAGACGAACTCATTCAAATCAAACTAATTTCTACGTGACATTCTTCCGATGCATAAACATAAACACTTTCAAGTTGTTTTCTCATCGAGGGTAACCTAAAGGCGTACAGTAATGCAGTCCGTCGGGCAATTTGGTATTTTAATATTTTTTGAATATTTCATAACCCCTAGAACAAGGCCGTAGCTAGGGGGAGGCTAAAAGATGCTGAGCCCCCCCAAGCTCTAGACAAGTTATAATTAACCAAATATGAATTACGACATCGAAAATCAAAATAAAATCTAGCGTTTTATTCAATAAGCCGAAGTCAGAGCAATAAAAAAGTCTAGAAAACATCTTTTAGTTTAGTTTCTGTTCGATTAAATTGTTTCGTTATCGTGTATTTTATTGATTATAAATAACTATTTAAGAATAACAATAATACAATACTTTTATTATTGGTATTACAATGCAAAATTTTGTAATAGAAAAACTGACTTGTAATAAACGGTTAGCACGTTTCTTAACCTTTACTCAAACATTAGATATTTTTATTTTAGCTTATCATGGTTGCCATAGAAAACAATAAAAGTGACAAAATCAAATTTTTTAATTTTTCGAAATTGCTGGATTTGACAAACTGTACGTTATGGGCGAGGGAAGTTCTATGGACGTAACCTTCGACCAATTTTTTTATAATAAATTAATTAAATTTCTTCCAGGATACGTCATTTGCTAAAATCAGTCTTATCTTAGCAGGAACTAGTCCCGCCCACCCACCCTCTGTTTTCTTAGAAGATACACCATTTGCCAAAATCGGTTCTATCTTGGTAGGTACTAAGAAAAATCCATTAAAGCATAACCAACTAAACACTAGAGATGTTCAAAATTTCTATCTTGTGTATATAACTAAACTCGTAATATTTCCAAATTTTGATAAGTTTTTGTAAAAGTTAGTCGTCAGTACTTGCTAAGATAAAACGGATTTTGGCAAATCAGATACTCCCTAAGAAAACAGAGGGCGGGTGGGCGGGACTAGTACCTGCTAGGATGAAACTGATTTTGACAAATGAGATACCCGCTAAGAAAAGAGAGGGTTGGCGGGCGGGGCTCGTACCTGTTCAGATAAGACTCTGACCTGACTTGTTTTTAAGTTAATTTTGAGACCCAGTTTTTTTTTTGAAAAATTTAAAACAATCTGGGTATGTCATTTGCCAAAGTCGGTCTTAATTTAAGAGATACTAGTCCCGCCCACCCACCTTCTCTTTTCTTAGAGGGTGTCTCATTTGCCAAAATCAGTTCTATCTTAGCAGGTACTAGCTAAGAAAAATCCATTAAAGCATAACCAACCGAACGCTAGAGATATTCAACTTGTTACCTGCTAAGATAGAACTGATCTTGGCAAATGACATACCTTCTAAAAAAAGAGAGGGTGGGTGGGCGGGGCTGACTACCTGTTAAGATAAGACTGACCTTGGCATATCAGATAGTCTCGAAGAAAAGGGAGGGTGCGGGGCTAGTACCTGCTAAGATAAGACTGACCTTGGCAAATCACATACCCTCTAAGAAAAGAGAGGGTGGGTGGGCGGGGCTAATACCTACTAAGATAAGACTGACCTTGGCAAATGACATACCCTCTAAAAAAAGAGAGGGTCAGTCGGTCGGGCTTGTACTTGCTAAGATAAGACTCTTACCTGACCCGTTTATGAGTTAATTTTCGGACTCTGTTTTTTTTTTGAAAAATTTGTAACAATCTGAGTGTGTCATTTGCCTAAATCGGTCTTATTTTAGTAAGTACTAACCCCGTCCACTCATCTTCTCTTTTCATAGAGGGTATTTCATTTGCCAAAATCAGTTTTATCTTAGCAGGTGGTTAGCCCCGCCCACCCACCCTCTCTTTTCTTAAAGGATATTTTATTTGCCAGAATCAGTTTTTTCTTAGCAGTTATTCTGCCCCGCCCACCCACCCTCTTTTTTCTTAGAAGGTATATTATTTGCCAAAATCAGTTCTATCTTAGCAGGTATTAGCTAAGAAAAATCCATTAAAGCATAAGCAACCAAACACTAGAGATATTCAACCTGTTACCTGCTAAGATAGAACTGATTTTGGCAAATGACATACCTTCTAAGAAAAGAGAGGTGGGTGGGCGGGGCTGGCTAACTGCTAAGATAAGACTCATTTTGGCAAATAACATATCCTTTAAGAAAAGAGGGGGTGGGTGGGCGGGGCTAACTACCTGCTAAGATAAAATTGATTTTGGCATATCAGATACTCTCTAAGGAAAGAGAGGGTGGGTGGGCGGGGCTAGTACCTGTTAAGATAAGACTGACCTTGGCAAATCACATACCCTCTTAGAAAAAAAAGGGTGGGTGGGTGGGGCTTGTACTTGCTAAGATAAGTCTCTTACCTGACCTGTTTATGACTTAATTTTGGGACTCAGTTTTTTTTTTAAATTCGAAACAATCTGTGTATGTCATTTGCCAAAATCGGTCTTATTTTAGTAAGTACTAGGGACGCCTACGCACCCTCTCTTTTCTTAGGGGGATCTCATTTGCCAAAATCAGTTTTATCTTAGCAAGTAGTTAGCCCCGCCCACCCACCCTCTCTTTTCTTAAAGGATATGTTATTTGCCAGAATTAGTTTATTCTTAGCAGGTAGTCTGCCCCGCCCACCCATCCTCTCTTTTCTTAGAAGGTATGTCATTTGCGAAAATTAGTTCTATCTTAGCAGGTATTAGCTAAGAAAAATCCATTAAAGCATAACCAACCAAACACTAGATATTCAACCTGTTATCTGCTAAGATAGAACTGAATTTCGCAAATGACATACCTTCTAAGAAAAGAGAGGTGGGTGGGCGGGGCTGGCTACCTGCTAAGATAAGACTGATTTTGGTAAATAACATATCCTTTAAGAAAAGAGGGGGTGGGTGGGCGGGGCTATCTACCTGCTAAGATAAAACTGATTTTGGCATATCAGATACTCTCTAAGGAAAGAGAGGGTGGGTGGGCGGGGCTAATACCTGCTAAGATAAGACTGACCTTGGCAAATCACATACCCTCTAAGAAAAAAAAGGGTGGTTGGGTGGGGCTTGTACTTGCTAAGATAAGACTCTTACCTGACCTGTTTATGAGTTAATTTTGGGACTCAGTTTTTTTTTAAATTCGAAACAATTTGTGTATTTCATTTGCCAAAATCGGTCTTATTTTAGTAAGTACTAGCCCCGCCCACTCATCTTGTCTTTTCTTAGAGGGTATCTCATTTGCCGAAATCAGTTTTATCATAGCAGGTAGTTAGCCCCGCCCACCCACCCTCTCTTTTCTTAAAGGATATGTTATTTGCCAAAATCAGTTTTTTCTTAGCAATTAGTCTGCCCCGCCCACCCACCCTCTCTTTTCTTAGAAGGTATGTCATTTGCCAAAATCAGTTCTATCTTAGAAGGTATTAGCTAAGAAAAATCCATTAAAGCATAACCAACCAAACACTAGATATATTCAACCTGTTACCTGCTAAGATAGAACTGATTTTGGCAAATGGTATACCTTCCCAGAAAAGAGAGGGCGGGTGGGCGGGGCAGACTACCTGCTAAGAAAAAACTGATTCTGGCAAATAACATATCCTTTAAGAAAAGAAAGGGTGAGTGGGCGGCGCTAGTACCTGCTAAGATAAGACTGACCTTGGCACCCTCTAAGAAAAGAGAAGGTGGGTGGGTGGAGCTTATACTTGCTCAGATAAAACTCTGACCTGACTGGTTCTTAAGTTAATTTTGAGACCCAGCTTTTTTTTGAAAAATTTAAAACAATCTGGGTATGTCATTTGCCAAAATCGGTCTTATTTTAGTAAGTACTAGCCCCGCCTACTCACCCTCTCTTGTCTTAGCGGGTATCTCATTATCAAAATCAGTTTTATCATAGCAGGTAGTTAGCCCCGCCCACCCACCCTCTCTTTTCTTAAGGGATATGTTATTTGCCAAAATCAGTTTTTTCTTAGAAGGTAGTCTGCCCCGCCCACCCACCCTCTCTTTTCTTAGAAGGTATGTCATTTGCGAGAATCAGTTCTATCTTAACAGGTATTACCTAAGAAAAATCCATTAAAGCATAACCAACCAAACACTAGAGATATTCAACCTGTTACCTGCTAAGATAGAACTGATTTTAGAAAATGACATACCTTCTAAGAAAAGAGAGTGTGGGTGGGCGGGGCTGACTACCTGGTAAGATAAAACTGATTTTGGCATATCAAATACTCTCTAAGAAAAGAGAGGGTGTGTGGGCGGGGCTAGTACCTGTCACTCACCCTTTCTTTTCTTAGAGGGTATCTCTTTTGCCTAAATCAGTGTTATCTCATCTCTTACCCTCTCTTTTCCTAGAGGATATGTCATTTGCCAAAATCAGTTATATCTTAGCAAGTACTAGCTAAGAAAAATCCCTTAAGGCATAACCAATTAAACTCTAAAGATGTTCAAAGTGTATGTCTTGTACATATAACTAAACTCGTAATATTTTAAAATTTTGACAATTTTTTGTAAAAGTTACTCATCACTACCTGATACGATAAAACTGATTTTGGCACATTATATACCCTCTAAGAAAAGAGAGGGTGGGTGGGTGGGGCTGATTACCTGCTAAGATAAGACTGATTTTGGCACATTATATACCCTCTAACAAAAGAGGGGATGGGCGGGCGGGGCTAGTACCTTCTAAGATACGACTCCTGACTTGTTTTTGAGTTCATTTTGGGACCCAGTTTTTTTTTGAAAAATTTAAAACAATTTGGGTGTCATTTGCCAAAATTAGTCGTATCTTAACAGGTACTATAGTACCGCCCATCCACCCCCTCTTTTCTTACAGGGTATCTAATTGCCAAAATCAATTTTATCTTAGCAAGTACTGATGACTAACTTTTAGAAAAAATGATCAAAATTTGGAAACATTACTAGCTTACTTATCTGCACAAGGTAGAAATTTTGAATATGTTGTTTCTGTTTCTGTTTATAATTTATAAATGACTACTGGTTGTTCGGGTTATTGTCCTAAAGAAAATAAAAGGTGGATTTTAGTCACCATCATTACTAAGAAATCTGAAAGTACGCCGGAGGTTTTTACTTTTTTAAAATTACGTTTTTTTCATAACCTACATCATAAAGAATTTTTTTATTAGTTTTTTGGGACTTCCGGAACCTCCGTACATAACGTACTGAAGACTTAATTCCCCATTTTCCAGACACCCGGTATAGCCATGTACAATTTTGTAAAAGTGTTTCCCGGTTTATTTAATAAAAAAAACTCGGATTTGATCTCGAAATGTGTGTTCCATTTCCATTTGTTTTTAAAAGTGATTCGATCCGGAGCTAATCGGGAGCGATCTACTTCGGTCACTTGAGCGGTTAAATGGAAAGCAGATTTAGCTGATGAAATTGACCCGTAACCCGCCCTACCCGTTGCATTTATTCCTAATTTCGTCTGTATTTTTGGTCGCTGTCCGGACTATTCTCAATTTGCGTTAAACAACAAAACTAGCGGGGAGCCTTAAATCCCTCCCGCCTAACACTAATCGTAAGTTTAGTGCATTAGTTCTAGTGAGATTAATAAACTTCTTAGCGCAATCTTAGCCCCCTACTCCGCTAGTTGCGACTTCCCAATATCCGTTTCCAGGCCGATCAGTCACGTCCTCGTACAAATCGCCGATCGCATTACCGACTAATTCGATATTAGGTGTCCCTACTTCAACCCGCCACGCATAATCTCACCTGAGGCGAGTGAGCTGAGCGATCCGGCCGTGCTGCCGCCTCCCTCGTACGCGTAGTTCCTGAGATCGTCGAACGGGGGAGCGTTGGGATCGCTGTCGGCGCGCTTCTTGTGTTCCTCTATAAAAACTCCAACGTTGGGTTCTTGCCCGACGCCGATCATCGAAACTGCACACAAGAAAACGGTTGATTTTTGCTTTTCGAGCTCGCGAGCTCTCGACTTACATCCGAGTTTGGGCGGGGCTAATTCGGGAAGAGGTCCGCCGATGGGGATCTGGAGCGGGGTGATGTCGAAAGCAGTCATATCGTCCTCGCCACCTCCTTCATCATCGTAATTGATGATGTTTTCGCGGACGTCGTCGTCCGGCCCCGGATACTTGATGTGCGCCTCTCGCCGCCGGTTGTACACCACAAATACCAAAACTAGGACTGCAAAAAGGGAGTTAGTTGGGGCATTCCGCAGATACCGCACGATAAAAAAGGGCCGGTCATTGTAAAGTGGACTCGCAATTAGAGAGGCGGCGATCTTTTCGGATCGTGCGGTATGTGGAGGGAGAGGTATTTCTTTCATCGATCGACGATATTGCGGTGCTTGGGGACAGATTAGGTGCAACCGTGTGTTACTTACCTAGAAGGACCAACAGACACACGATAACGGCTACGATAAAGTCCTTGGAAGGCATTATAGCTCCGGACGCGGCAATTTCTAGCTCGCAATGAACTCCGGTATAGCCCGAAGGGCATACGCACTGGTATTTCAGAGGGGGAATGTGGTCTCTGCACACCCCCCCGTTAATGCACGGCAACCACATGCACTCGTTGTCGTTAACGCAGTCGTGATTGCGGAACTTGTACCCCGGGGGACATCTAAATCCACAAAAAATCATTAAATACTCACCCACAAAGAAGACACCCTTGCTCTGGCACTGAGGTTATTGTTATAAGAAAAGAAGAAAGAACTAGAAGGACTACGCATGCGACGTGCTGTTAAGCTAGTTTCTTACTGAGAATGATGAGCAAGCAGACTAGGATAGCTGCGAGTGCTCCCATGCTGAGTTTAAGGGTCTGTCCCTCCTGAATGAGCTCGCAGTTTTCGCCCCAGAAACCGTCAGGACAGTGACAGCGGTACCTCAGCCGCGGTTCCAAATTGAAGCAGGTACCACCGTTCAAACACGGTAAATCCACGCATTCATCTTTGTCCATGCAGTCCTTACTGTCGGGAGACATAACACGACCCTCCCCGCAGCTGTTACACAAGGACAGACAACGTTATTCGACGCATGCAAGCAACAACAACGCTACCACCACAAGAAAATTATTTCACCAAAGGGTTCAATTAAACAAAATTCGGCATCCAGTATTGTTACAAAAAACTTTTGATGTTTTAATAAAACACAAATTGGAGGCAATTTAGCGGAACGTATTTTTTCCAGAGCCCGAGGAGGTTATTTTAAAAGTTGGAAGAGAAATTAAGCACGTTAATAAAAATTAGTCAACAAAAAAAAATACAGAGCAGCTAAGGTTCGAAATTGAATTTTGATATCTGTGTATGGAAATTAGCCGCTGTGAATGAATGCCATATCTTCTAATTAAACTTTGAATCGGTGTTTTGCTCGCGTGTTCGGGTATGATTGGTTTTCATTTAAAATACAAAATTGAATTTTGCGCAAACATAAAATATATTTTATTATTGCGGTTTGAATATGGAATGGGACAAAAAGTTTAATCTCTACGCCATTAATTATCAGCTTTCTCTGTTCTTTCCACTCGTGACAATTTAGTCTCGTGATATCGTGCATTCGCGGGAATCTTACAAGTTTTATTTTCATTGTTTAAAGTTATAATTAGTCCAAAATAAAACGTTTCACGTACTCCCGTTTTCGCAAAATTCTGATAAGGAATTCCATTAGCTTTATTAATCCGAACACTATTATGCTCAGCAACACTTTCTTTATTTATAATAGAACAAGTACATGCAACTTCTAACCTAATCTCATAATACGGTATTCATAAACTTTGCACAAAACCTCCCGTCTCCCATTATTTTATAATTTGATGAAAGACTCAGCAACCTCAGCGGAACGTAATTATACGTAATTATTCCGCAACAAAAAAACCCGAAATTCTACATTATTCTAAAGCATAAATGAACTTTACATAAAACTAAGACAACAGTAATCTTTTGAATTATTCCGTGAAAATTCGCTCCGTCGTCATTCGACATCATCACGTTGGAAATTCTTCTCGCTGGAACAAAATTGTTTCACCGTAATTTAATAGTTCGCCGTTGTGGAGGCGAGCGTGCGATTATTAGTAGATGAGAGACAATTAACTATGCAAAATACCGACATTCCTATTAAAACACCAAAATTTTATTGCTCGTACAAACTCAACCCAAAAACCAAACTTCACACCAAGCCACACCACCCGTCACCATTCAAGTGGAAATCAAAGACACAGAACTCAGTGCCGTCGCAAATAAAAATAAAACGTTTCCTCGCGTACTTTTGAAGTTGTCATAATGCAAAGAGAGTCTCGTTTAAAAGTTTAAATTAACCACGAAACGACGCCGCAAACAACTTCCAAGTACGTCTGGGGGAAGAGTCAAAGGAAAAAAAACCTTCTTTTTAAATCGAAACTAATTATCATGAAAGGACGGCGAAATCGGGCGGATTTACTTACGTGCACTCGTAATCGTTCCACAGATCTACGCATTCGAAGGGTTGGGGACAAATCACGTTGGCGCAGGGTTTGTTCGACGGGCAATTGCGTTCGAGGTTCCTGGCCATGGTGGCTTGACCCCATTGGGTGCCGTTCATCGCAGGCGGTAGCGGCAGGTGCTTACCTTCCAATCGGATATCGTCCAAGCAACCTACACAAAAGTTATACACTTGTTCGACAGAAATTCTAGTGTTACCTTTCTGATAGTCGGCGTATACTTCGAAGGTTCGCACTCCCGTGTATTCGGCTTTTCCGCCGGCATACACCCCCTCTTGTTTATCAACTAGGAGCCACTGGTGGCCGACGAAGTCGAAGGTCTCGTTGTAGCGCCGGCCTTCGCCGCCGTCGAGTTCCAGGGTGGCGGCGGATCCGTAGCGACTTACCCGAGCGACGTGCCACTGACCGTCGTCCACGGTGACCGCGCTAAGCCAAATGTCTTTCTCTTCGGTCCTCAAGGAGTTGAGGTTGTACCTATGAATATGTCGTTACGTCAAGCGACTATGATTTAATCAAGTTAATTACCTGAAGTACAGCCTCGAGTCCTTGATTTCCAGGATTCCGTACTCCCGGTTGTGCTGATCCGACACTCTGAACAACTCCCCGTGCTCTTCGCGGGTCCTAAATCTCAGTTGTATCTGCGTGGAGAATCGGTCCGGCTCGAAACTCAGCGCGTATTTGACGTACGACTGTGGTTTGAAGGACGTCGGTATCGTGGCTATCGTGCACGCCGGTCCCGTCCATCCCGGCTTGCACTGACACTTCGCCTCGTTGAAGCTTCCCACGCACGTTCCGTGTTCCCAACATCTGGACGTGGCGTCCGACCTACCGCACATCTCCTCGGTTTGCGGGCAGCCCGCAACGCTGTTCCTCGACAGTCCCGGATGGGCCAAATCGTACAACTTGGAATTATGGAACAAATTGCGGATGCAGCCGTCGAAAGCTTTCCCCACGGGCATATACTGCCAGTGGTAGTGCGTGGGATCGAACTGCTCCACGTACAACCCGCCCAACTGGAGCGGGGCGTTCACGTTTAGGTATTCGTTGAACGGAGGAATCGTGCCCTGAGCCTGACAAGTGCTGTCGTCGAATTCGGGCGGCGTCCCGTCTTCCAACTCCGCGATGTCTGCGGATTTGCAATAGTCGACTACCATGCGCACGTTCTCGCTGTCCCAGAAGACGTCGATCCGGTGCCACTCCCCGTCGTCGAGAGTCTTCTTGGTCTTGACGCGCAGCTCGAGGGTCCCCGAGCCGAAGTCGAGCAGCAGGCGAGGGTAGCCGCGTTCGAGCTCCACGGCGATGTAGTCGGACACCATGACTTCGTCGGACTCGGGAGGGACGATGGGTCCGTTGTACAAGAGCAACCCGTCGGCTTTGCGCGTCGCGAATTCGAAATGAAGATGCGACTTGTCGCACATCTCCAGAGCCGGGTACCACGCCCAGCCGTTCCCTCTGAAACTACGCGAGGTTTGCTGGCACCTGGGCCCGTTGTAGCCCGCCGGACACGAGCACGAGAGCGAGTAGCGCGTTTCGATGCATCGACCGCCGTTGTAGCACGGCGTGTTGCGGCAGTTCTCCTCCTTGGAGAAGTTCCGCGCGCCGCAGGTACACTCAGCGAGGACGTCAACCCGGACACCCACTAACGACGTCTTGTTGGCATTCACCATGTAGGGCAAGGCACTTATGTCAAGAGTGTTCGTACAGGAGCCTTCGCACATCTGGTTCTCGTACAGGCACTCGTCGATTCCCACCATGGTTATGTTGATCCCCACGTCCTTCTCGATGTCCTCTCGGTGCATCAGCACGATCCCGTTCAGCCGCACCGGCTTGTAGTACGGCGAGCCGTGGGCCGAGAACCGCACGTCCGTCAACGGCGGGTGCTTCCGCCGCAGCTGCACGCTGAACACGTCCACGTTGTCCCTGTCCGTGTTCAGGAGATCCGCGATCTTGTCCTTGAACTTGTCCGCCTTGCTCCTGGACAGACTCTGCGTCTTGTAGTCCCAGATCCGGATGAAGTCCTCGTCGGTGATGCCGGCGATACGCACCGACCCGGAGTTGACCACGGCCTCGTGCGGGATCTCCTTGACGGTGACGGTGACGTTAGCCGGTACGTCCGTCTGGGTGTGCTTCCTGTCGTAGACCTTGAACCTGAGGTGATACTTGCCGTCGCGGGTGCCGTGCTTCATGGAGATCATCCCCGTGTCCTCGTTGAGCTTGAACCTGGGGTGTTCGGTGGTCTCCCAGTAGAACTTCTTGTCAGGCAAGTCCCAGTCGTCCAAGTCGTACACATAGACGCGCCCGATTTCGGTCTCAGGCGCTTGTCCCTGGTAGTTGTAGACGAAGATTTCCTTCGAACCGGGCTGCATTTTGTTGTCGTTGACGTCGCCGATGACGACGGTCAAGGTGCTGGTGCCGCTCATGGCGGGATTGCCGTGGTCCTTGATCACGATGGGGATGAGGTACTCCTTTTGCTGCTCCCGGTCGAACGAGCGCAACGACGACACGATGGCCATGCCGTCTCCGTTCGCACCCTCTGCAATCAAATTAATATTCGCGAGTTATTACGCTCATTACACGCTCGGAGATGGCACAATTTCGGCCGGGAGGGTTTCATTACTGCCAGAGCGCTAATTCCCCCCGTCAACCGTCACCAAGTCGGGCAATAAGTGTCGAGACGCAATACTTATTGTTTGCTTGGGACGGAAAGACACCGACGAGTTATGCGGGTTCGGGAAGTTTGCGACTGTGACACCCTTTCTGGATTATGGCGGCGGGATCTCGTTTACCCTCGAGGAACACCCTACTTTTAACTGTGACGATAATCTGCGTTGAATTAAAAACGAGCGATGGAGAAATACCTTAGAATAAAGCGAGGCTTACGCGGCTTTGCTTTAAAGTTGCTTCGTTCATTAAATTTCATAAAAAGATCCCCCGGGGGCGATAAGTGAAATAGCACGGATTTAATTGATCTTCCCATGCATTCGCAAACTTCTTAACAATCCCTGAACTTTCCAGACCCTCTTTCTACTTATTAATTTTTATAAGCGTTCGTTAAAATTTCATTCGCGCGTTGGTGGAGTAGTCGTGGCCCATTACGACGACGATAATTCGTCGTTACAAGTTTATTCTTCATTATTGGAACAAATTTGACTCTCGACGGAGCGAAAGTGTGATAGCGTCGTTTTCGCGCGAGACCGCACAGCTGCTCGGGTGCGACTATGAAGAGATTGAACCGAGTTCTCAGAAGCAGACGGCGTATTTTTGACGGATCCCTCGCCTCCCGGCAATTCACTGTCGGACATTATTCATACTTTCGTCTAAAATTAACATTTTAATCAGAAAATAACAGACATAACAAGAGTGAAAATTTTAATTAAAACGCTCGTCCCCTTCACTCTCCAATAATTGCAAATTAACCCCAGCGGGATACATTTTTGATCAACGGCTGCTCCTGCCTTGCGCAAAACTTACGGAATACTTAAACAGAACGTCTGAATTCGGCTTAAACCCTTGAATACTGATCGTCATAATCGGAGAAAACACTCCGGTCTTTTGTGTGCCGGAGTCATCAGGAAACGGCAAATGGGGTGAAAGGCGAGGCGCAAGAAGCTACAGACTAAATGAATTGTCTCTTAACATTGGCCCCTCCTCCCGTTTTTATTCCGTATTGATTCGCCTAGGTGTATTTGTGTTTCGTCGCGGGCCCTGATAAGAGTGCGTTTTACGTTTATTACCAACGTAAAAACCCAGAGAAATGGAGTAAACAATCTTGTCCGGGCTTTTAACAACCCGTTATTTTTCAGGTCACAAAAATTTTCTTATCCGCGGGAAATCAAAGTTGCATGCATGCGCGTGCATGGAAATGGAGTTTGCTCAACGGCCTCTACTTTTATCGGGCCTTTCCGGCAACATGACGAAAAACAAACAATAAATAAACCCGCGCAGATTATCTCGGCCAAGTCTAAACTGGGAGCCATCTGATAGCGCGGAAACTTTATTGCCGCTGGCGGCATCGCCAGGGAGGGCCGACTTTCGGAGAGAATACATCAAGGTTCCTTAGTACTGGATGGAATTTGTTGTACATTTACAAGTTCTCGTAGTTACATCGTGTTTCCTAACTAGCACTGGTCCATAGGCTCGTTGGGTCAATGACCCAACAAAAAATAATTGAAGAACTGCTGCTGTCACCACCACCAGCAGTTGAAAAATCGTTCAATTAACGACAAAATCCAAGATACACAATACGGGTAAACAATCAGACTAATGTATACACGTGAAACGTAGAAGCCTCATTTAGCAGTTTACACGCCTAGGTTAAGATCAATATTGTGATTAATTTGTGGAATTTGGGCAAACACGGTCCTTAAAACAAACCAGGAACTCGTGTTTGCTCCAATTGTTACTCTCTTGTATTGTTTGAGTGAAAACCGTTTGTAGAAAAAAATTGGATGTCCTGAATGCTCCTGTTCATGATTTAGTGAGCGGCGAGGCAGAAGATAAAAAAATGTCAGACGAATCCGCGGCATTGCAATTTTTCACTACACACGAGAAGAGGGAAAAAAGGTGCCGCGGTGTACCAAGACGAGCCGTAATCAATCAGGAGTTGTCAAGATTATGAAGAAATATTTAGAAAAATGTAGGCGAGCATCTGGGAAATGCACAATAATTGTACGTCGTGCATCCGGGCGTTCCGATAGCAAAAGGAAACAAATTGCGGCAATTTTTATGCAGCAGACAACCCTCGAACATAACTCTAGTTGTAAATTAAAGGACGTCGCTCGGTAGTTGCGAGTTCGTTTCAGTAAATACCGAGTTTTCTTATTTTCCTATTAATTGGCTCGCTAGGCTACGAGTTCACATTAAAAGTGAACACGCTTCAGAATGAAATGGCCAATTTAAGTAAACAAGTCTGTATGCGTTCATAATTAAATGAATGCTGTGCATCTCCGCCGTAATTCCGTTATTAGTGCACTCAGGCTTCCGCGCACTTCCCTTCCGCCCGTTGAAAAATTTTTATAGGGTCGAACCGAAGCCCAGAACAGGAGGTAATAATAATATTAATTATGATAGAGTTTATTGCCCACACAGAATACAAAGTACCAAAATAGGACAAGTAGATATAAACTAAACAAATAACAAATATAAATAATTACATATATTATTTAATTTCTATTAAATAAATTTACAATATACTGCAAGCTGTCACAAAAAATTTCGCAGTTGCTGCAACATATACTTAAAGGGGATTTTCTTAAAATTAAAGTCCTATTAGGTGGATTATAAAAAGTATTATGCTTTCTTGTACGTACTGGAGGGACATGTATTGAAATAGCGATAATAGGGCTGGACTACAAAATTGTAACAGAGGCTTGATCACGTCTTACATCTAATGGGAACACACTGAAACGGCTTAGTAATAATGAATGCTCACTACCCTTGGGGGGATAAAAACCATCAAATTTAAATGCAATAAATTTTAAAAACTTACGTTGGACTGACTCAATACATTTGATTTGATACCATAGAGAATAATATAAGATTAGTAGGCTATTGTTGGTATTTTCGAAATCTCGACAGTTTCGCCAAATAAAACCTAAACCTGAATGCGCAGCAGACGCAATTTTATAGATGTGCTCTAAAAACGTTAATTTAACATCAAACGTGACACCTAAAACATCTATCACAAGACTACGGGTTATTGATATACCACTAATCCTATAATCAAAGTGAATTATTTTTTTAATAGTAGATAATTCCCATTACCCGGTAAACATTGCGCGTCATAATCCATAATTTATCCGCCCACCAGCTCGGATCGATTATTACCTGAAGGTTCATACTCACTTTGATCCTGCTCGACCTTGAACGACGCCCTGATGATGTCGTCCGCGCCGGGGTCCAACCGGAACTGGAACGGCGGCCCGTTGCTCTTCGACCTGTCGTCATCATCGGTAGCCAGGATTTCCACGACCTTCCTTGGCGGCACGTGCTCCGGCAACACCGGCCTGTAGTCCCTCAGGAACGTGGGGGCGTTGTCGTTGATATCCTGCACGATCACGGTGAGCGTGGCCGTGGCGGTTTTCGGCGGAATCCCGTCATCGATAGCCAGGATCTTGACCTGGTGCCTGGGTGTGTCTTCACGGTCCAGAGACCTCTGTATACTCACAGTTCCCTCTTGATTGATCGAGAATTGGCGTTTCCGGTCCGAAACCCTGTCGATCGCGTACGAGACTTTGCTTTTACCGCCTTGATCCGGATCGGTGGCCTGAAATGTCTCCAGACTCTTCCCCACCTCCGCGTTTTCGTAAACGGAAACCTCGATGTTGGGTCGCTCGAACTGCGGCTTGTTGTCGTTGATGTCGCGCAACTTCACCACCACCCACGAGTTGGCCACGTGGTACTTGTCGTTATCGTTATCTTCACCCTTGTCGTTCACCTGGATCCTGAAGCGGAATCCGTTGCTCTGCAGCAAGTCTTCGTAGTCCAGCGGCTGCACGATCTTCAAGCTCCCTGTCCCGTCGTTGTTGCGCACCATGGTGAACTTGTCCGCCCCGTAGCCGCTGTTCTCCAGCACCTTGTACTGGAACTTGTTGGTCTCGTCCTCGTCGTGCACCGTCACCGTCAGGATCGGCATCTCGGGCAGCGTGGTGCCGTCCGTCTCGTCCACCTCCGTCAACCACTCGTCTTTGGTGAACTGCGGCGGCATGTCGTTTATGTCTTTCACGCGTATGGAGGCGGTGCCAGTCCCTTTCAAGCCGCCGCCGTCCATCGCCACCACTTGGATCGAGTAATCGGGAGTCCGTTCGCGGTCTAAACAGCACACCGCCGTCTTGATGACGCCCGTTTCAGATTCGATTTCGAATATGGGCGAGCCCGTTTCCTCCTCGATCACGTTCTTCTCGATGGAGTACACTAAACGCGCGTTCGTCCCCTCCGAAGGGTCGTCGTAGTCGACGGCGGTCATGGTCATGACCACCATGCCGGCCGTCCCGTTCTCGGTCACGTTACCGAAGTACACGCCCTGAGGGAAGATGGGCGCGTTGTCGTTAATATCCTTGAGGTTGACCTGCACGTCGGCGTAGCCCACCAGACCCTCGCCGCCTTCGTCTTGGGCGAACACCGTGAAGCGCCATTGGGGGCGGCCGTTGGGCTGGTCGCGGTCCAAGGGCTAGAAAACAAAAACATTAGTAGAAATGGGGCTGTTTTGAAGGACGACCTTGAGAAAATCCCGTCTACTACTCGCGCCGGTAGCAGTTTTTTCGTGTCCACCGTTACGACTGGAAAGCGGAAGACCAGTAAACGAAGATAAACAACCACGAAATGATAGATTGTGATTTTATGATGTGAATACAGATAGCGGAAATGGGGGTGTTTAGAGAAAATCCCGGTTACTATTCGTGGTAGTAGTTTTTGTGTGCACTCGAATGACGCTTACTTTAAAGTGAGCGCCACCCTTGCACTTAGCGGTTTTTCTACTTTTCCAGCTTGTTTTTTGGCGGAACACGATTTATGCCCCGAGTAAATAAAAACGACCGAGGGGCGGATAATGGCACGAGGAGGGTCGGAAGGATTACAGATTTTAACGCGTCTCTTAAATCAAACCGTAGATGATAAAGGCCGAAGAGCCGGAGAGCGTAATAGAGATACGAGCGATGAAAAATCGCCAGATTAACTCTCTTTGTGTAATTTCGAACAAAACGTCGTCTCCGCCGAAAAAATCCGCCCTAATGAGTGAAACGGGTTGAAGGGCACATCCAGTTGACTCGAACCCGGCGAAACGAGCCTTTTACGAGCGGGCCTCGTGAAGGGACATTATCGACGTCCGATCTGCATTCGAATGCGGTTTTTAGAAGCAATTGGGGCGGAAATGGATCCCGACACCTACCTTGAGCACGAATATCTCCCCCGTGGTCCTGTTTATGTCGAATTTGCTGTTGTCTGGATTGTCCGGATCGATGCCCTGGCCTGTCAGGAAATACACGATGTTCTGGGGCCGATCTTTGTCGCCGTCGGTTGCGGTCACCTAAACACGACAACTCTAATTAGAACGGGAGCGGGGGCGGCAAGATGCACATGCAGTTGCTACGTCGAGTTAACTCACCGGTTTGGAGGCGGGGGCGGCTAATCCGGCGGGACACGCGGTCAAGTGACCCGCTTCCGAGAACCTAATTGGCATGCATGGGTGCACGGGTGCAGCAAGAACGAGAATTACGACCAATGGGTGCGTGACGTAGGAAAATAAAAACTTTCAAAGTGCGCCGTTTTATTATTTTGAGATACGCAATATGCGATCCATTCTTTCCGTGACATGTAACTGCAGACGGTTTATAAATATATATTAAAAAAGTTTTTATTCTGAAAAACGGAATGGATTTGGAGTCCGGGGTGCGTGCTTCTTTTATTTTAAATTAATGGTTTAACTACCAGGAAGGGACGCTAAGGATTCGGACTCGTCACAAATAGTTTCTACAGCCCTCTGGTGTGTTTTTGCGATAACATCTGCGAGATTTATACCGACCGTTTAATTTTTTCTTATAACGATTTGGCTTTATTTCCTTTTTTCATCACGTTTGATGTAGTAACGGCGCGATTACAATCAGATTGTGACGATCGTTAAATTAATGAAACGATAGGGTTATTAGATTTTTCCATTCTGGGAGCGCTATCAACTGACGATAAAAGTCGGTAGTGAAATTAATGGACGAAACGAATTGACTGCTAAGTTAAGTTAAAAAATCGAGAATCAGAAGACTGTTTATTTTTTTAGCTGACGTTTATAGAACAAAGAGTCGGATCGATAGTAGAAAGTGGGTTTCTTTCAAGGACGACCTTGACAATAGCCCACGAACTACTAACATGAATCAAAAGTTGTGTAAAGGTTTACAATATAATGCGATTATGGGGTTTCCTTTATCACTTCAGCTACAAAGAGTTGTTTTCATTGCACAGATACAAAGCAATAAATCGTCCTGCATTTGGAAAAAAAATCAGAAAACAGTTTGACGGTTATGCTTCATTTTCGTTCGTTTTAATTTAGCTCTTGCGATTGTAACAATTACCTTTTGGTATGAACGTGAGCATCGGGCGATATTATTTTCTTGTATAATAAATGCGCCAAACGATATTAAATTTCGTAATTCTGAAAGTAAGTTAGTCGAAATCACGTTTCCTCGCTCTCTTTGAAAAGTATCAAAATCGCCATCTAAAAATAAAACTCGGGGAGAGTCGTTGCGATCTCGCTCTTTATTGTCGGCACGAAGCAAGTAGATATTCCCAATAAAAAATCACCAGTTGCAGAACATCTCGGAAGAACTTGTGCCCGATAAAATCCCCTAATAAAAATAATCGGCGTAATTCCGGGCTTTCTTCGCGCTCTCGAGCCATCAAAAGGTCCGATTTTTCAGCGAAACTGTGTTGTACGTCACGACTTACCGTTTACACACAAGCCACTTTGAATAATTCGGATTATTCTCTCTGACTTTTGACGTTTCCAGCCCCAAAGCATACAGGAATAATAGCACCATTTCCCCTGACTCGTCGTGTCATTTATTAACCTGCTCGGGCGGATTCACCCTTCACATAAGCACGCAAGAGATCGGCTTAATAAATTCAACCCGAATTTAGCTGAAATTCCAAATACCCCATCCATGGATTACTGTCATATCCGTGCGAAACCGCCCGATACATGCCGCTAATCTCCGAAGAAAAGCGGCGGCGAAATCAAAGATGGGGACGGGACGATTTCAATTATTCGAATTGACGTAATTACAGGAAGAGCGCCTTTGTGCCGTCGCTCAAAATAACAAGCTGGAGATGGCTTTCAACCCGTCTTTAATTATTGCAGTTGCCGCGAAGCGTGTTTGCTCGATAAATATGGGTGCAGCTGGCCGCTGCGGTTATGAACCATTCAGCTTCCATAAATCAAGCTAAAAGAAAAGCATAAAACAACCACGGCGATAATTCACTGCGGCGGAGAATCGGGGCAAAAATCGCCTGAATAAGCGGTAATTTCGCAGTCGAAATTAGAATTTATGTGTGGGAACGGGGAAAGTTTGATGATGCCTTGATTAGAGCGGCGACAAGTAATTGCCACCGGAAAGGCAATCCTGGACGATGTGTATATGTAAAATTTCATCCTACCGACTGCTCCATTTGTGTGCACTTGGCATCCGAGCTCCTCCGGCGCGAAATTCAAACCGGATACGTTCATTGATTTGCACTACGAGGCACCTGTTTCAGGCAAATTATCGTTAATCTCGCCATCCCACCACGTTTCCAGGCAATTAAAGCCCCGTATTCCTTTCCGGGTGAAAGAAACAGGCGAGCGGAGGTCGCATTGTGCTCCGAGCCCCTTACTTCAATGAAAAATTTAATAATACATTGGGAACTAGTGACATGGGCTTTTTTCGTCACGGTTTCAACATGAGGCTGTATTTCTTCCACCCGCCGGGGGAATTACGCGAGTTCTGCTCATATCTAATGCATAAACAACGGCATTATTGAGCTCGCTGATGGTTCTGCTTTGTGTTTTTGAGTATTAACGAGGTTAGACAAACGGGACTATGAAATAGAGAACGGTTGGTCTTGACGCACTTAATCCAATAATTTCGTTTTATATACCGGTTCGCCTTATTCAGCTAAACCGAAACACACACATCCGCCATATTTTATACACACAACTCGCTTTTGCTCTTGCCTCCTATCTTTTCCAATTTCATCATTCGGAAAGGATTCAGATAATCGGATCGTACTCTTTTCCTTGGGGATTGTTAGGGAATTACAAAAGCACGCGTCGCGCGAATAACAAGTCGACGTAATTGGTTCATCCCGCGAAAAGTACATCCAGAACAGTTTAATTGTAGTCGTAGCTAAATGAATCCGCGTATGAATGGAGTCCGACCGAAGCCGTCGCTTTCAATTAGTCTCACGACGAAATAAATTCACAGTCGGAGTGGATGCATCTCGCGAAATGAGACGCGCTTATTTTTATTTCAATTTATTTGAGTGCTCCGAGGCTGTATTTACTTATTTAATTACGCCGGTATATTCGGGTCGGTAAAGTAGAGAGTGATGAGCAAGAAATTCCGTTCGAAACGCATTGTTGTTTTTTACTAACTCGCATTCAACCCAGTTTGAATAACAATGAGGGGTCGGGAAACATTCGCGTTCTGTCGAAACATAACTGATATAAAATGCAGGCATTAAATTGGCCGAGTCCGAGTTTAAAATTTCGAATAAATTATGCGGCGTGTTTTATTCGAGATCCGGGAGTGGAGGTGTTGTGGTTGCTTTTATATCCTTTGTTCTTTCTGGAATGTTATTTAGTTTTATATTTTTTGCCGAAAGCCAATATCCATACGTACGTAAAATAAATGGAATAGGACGTGCGCTGCGGTTCGAAATTTATTCCGGCATAATTTTAATACGGGAAACATTTCGGCAGAAATTTTATCGCTTCGACGATCCACGTCAACAATTATTACCCGAGCATACGATACGCGTTCATTGTGAGCTCGATACCGCGTCACCGCAAAAAGTCAACCTGAGTTTTCATAGCTACGCGACAGCTTTTTAAGTGGGAGCGGTTGTCACAGGCGACATCTACCACAAACTTGGAAACTGTAAATTGGCGGCTGCGAAGGTTATTTATACTGTATTTGTACTGGTAGATGGTCAACTTGTGTCGTCGTTGTTGGCGCGGGGGCGGCCGCCGCCTCCCGCGAGTCCCCAGACCGCCCGGGCCCACCGCAGGCTTTTAGTCAAATCAAACAATTTTGGTCCATTACTCGCAATCAAATTACCAACCAAAACTTGCGGTTCGAAAGCCCGTTATTAACCGTGGCATTTCAGGACGGCTGTCGCTATTAGTCCTCCCGGTGAAACTCACTTATTCGGGCTTTCCGCCATTAAAATTAAATTTATGATGGATCCGCGTTAAAAATTCGCGAGCCCTCGAGCCAGCCTCGTAAGAATTGTTATGGCGATTTAAAAACTTCCAACTTTATTTTACATCGAAGGTGAATTACGACTTAACATCAGTAAAAGGTTTTACGAGTCCTAAATTTCATTTTACGTGCCGCTTCCGGTCCGACGCTTCACATGACGCCCAAAATGCACGCTTCGGAGGGTGAGGTTTTTCTCGGACGAATAATTAAGGTCTAAAATTAACGTCGTTCCGGTTTGTGTAACACGGTCTTGATGGCGAAGTGGCTCCACTTCAGTTTCAACCTAATTACTTTATGGAGAAAACGCGACTTGGCGATGGCCTGCCTAATTGCCGCGCGTCTTATGAGTTTGCTCTTTTTCTCGGTCGAAGAGTCGTAAAGAAAGCCGCAATGTGTTCCTAGAAATTCGATTACTTACATGTCTGAAAGAGCCAGACGCGATTAGGACAAGTTTTTGTCAAGTTGTCGCCCGACAAGTGAAATATGTGCACTGCAGATTCCGAAAGCACTTTACTTGTTACAAAAGACACACTTTAGCCGCCACAAAACACTGAAAGACGGCAAGAGATGAATAAAACATCCGGGTGCGGGATTTTTTCCACGACCGCTGAGCGGTACGGGTTTCTAGTTATGCCACAGTTCGCAGAATATATTCGCAGCTGACACTAGGCCAATATTGCTAAGGTCTAGAAAAATGAACACTGGTTGCGACTTCATTTCGGCTTGCGAAAGTCGGAAAGTGCCACGGTATCAGTTATACTTAATTTTTATCCCCTCGTGGAACAAAGACCACAGCGGCCGAATGGCCGCTTATTCACGGATCGCTGACGAGGTGATACCTAAATCGTAGGACCTTCAGACGTTAATGTGCCCCGTCGACGCCATTAATTTTGTTGGCTTCGTAAAATTGTGCGAAATCAAGTGCAAAATTGAATGTAAACAACGACACGGAATGTATGATGAGATACGCCGGGACCGGGATCCCGCTAGCATTAACGCCTCCGGCGATACGCTCTCTCACGTCACTGTCACGTTTCCTTCCACTAAGAAAATTGTAATTTGGTGTTCAAACTAGGTC